CTTTCTTTCTTTCTTTCTTTCTTTCTTTCTTTCTTTCTTTCTTTCTTAGTTTAGTTTACCTTATTGTCATTGCACCTTATACAACAAAATCGAACACCATTTTCAGGGCACATCAGGCCGGCCTGGAAATAGCAAAGGACCCAGTCCACAGTACCTCTGACAACCAAAGCAGCTGTTTTGGCCTAGGCGGCCTCCTGCAACACTGCTGGCCAAAACGGCACGGGGGGGGGCCACACACACCACATCCGTCCCCTCCCCCCCCCCCTCCCCGGGCGGCCGGCCTACAGAGGAGAACTACAATGCTGATCCGGCCCTTCAAGAAATCCAGGTTGACACCCCTTGCTATGAAGTGACTATCTTCAACTCACCCAATAGAATCGAATCCAGAGCAACTCTGTGAATTTTTGAGCCTGTTCTTCTTTTTCCTACCCTCCTTCTGCCCTCCCCCACCTCACAGGAAGACTCGCTTCCTCTGACCGTGGTGGGCATCTTTATCGAGCAGCCCACCCCTTTCCTCGACCAGTTCTTCAAAAGGCTCCAGCTTCTCCGCTATCCGAAAAAGAAAATCCACCTGTTCATCCACAATCACGTGAGTCAAGATACCTGGCTGAGAAGGTGCCCAGTCCCCAGGTGTGCCTTGTGCAGAGGGGGGGCGGGGCGTTCTCCTCCTGAGTAGTTGGCTCAGTCTGCGCTGTTCTCGCCTTCTCTCCACTCTCCGTACTCTCGGATCAGGAGGGGACGGTCCTTGCTCATCGCCTGAGCTCTGTCTCTCAGGGTCCCTGCTTAGTCTCTCCTGGTCATCCTGCCCCCACTTCCTCCCTGCCTACAAGCCGTCCCAATCCTGAAAGGCCCCGGCCTGATTGGGCCTCTATTCCTCCCCATTTTCCTCCGAAGCCACCACCTCCTCGATCTCTGTTGGCCGTCTTTCTCCGCAGAGTCAGGCTCCGACACTTTGAGAAAGGGGTTCTCTGCCCGGCGGCTGGGTGGGCGTGGCCACGGTGGGCGTGGCCTAGTCAGCCTCCTGCTCTCCAGGCTCCAGAGGCCTCTGGGGAGGGTGAAAATGGCCTCCCTGGGCTCCGGAGGCTCTCTGGAAGCCGGAAACAGGCCCATTTCCGGCCTTCTTGAAATTCTGGGAGGCCCGTTTTTCGCCCTGCACTTCCTTTCATCCCAAATGGGCCGTGTGGGGACTCCGGGGAGGGGAGAGGAGGGCGGAGCCAGCAAGGAGTGGGATTCGGGGGTTGTCTGAACTGCACCGAATCTTAGCTAGGGGCTCTCCGGAACCCCTGCGAACCCCCCAGCCGCGCACCCCTGCATGACATGGCGCCTCTGGGCCAACTCCTCAACACAGCGGAGGCTTCTTCATGGGGCTAGCACCCCGTTCTGATTTCCACCCTCCGCGCTTTCCGCTGCAGACTCCTCCAAACTCCTCACCCAGAGGGGGCTCCAGTGGCAGATCCATGACCGTGAATGAGGCGGCTTTGCCGGAAGGACCGGCCCCTCGGTAACCCCTCTCGCTTCTTCTCCCGGTGCAGGAGGAACATCACCTGCCTCAGGTGAGCTCCTTTGTGGAGAAGCACGGCCAGGAATATCGCTCCCTGAAAGTGATGGGGCCGGAGGATCACCTGGAGAACGCCGAGGCTCGCCACCTGTGCATGTAAGAAACGCGGAGAGGTTCCCCAAATGCGGTGTCACCTCATAAAATATTTCTCTTTTTAGAGGGGGGGGCAATGGAGCAGCTTGCAAAACCGAAACTGGATTCCACAAATGTTTTCAAAGATAACGTTTAGTTTTCTTATTTTCAGCACAGAGAACTTAGCCTGAAACGAAAACCACGCTTATCTGACTCTTGTTCTGTGGTCAGGGACTGTGTTGCGTGCTTTCGATCCTTCCGCTCCCTTTGCGGTTTTTAAAGACGTTTGCCTCTTTTCAGGACAGACATCTGCACAGCCCAACTGCCTCCATCCACATTCCCGAGACGGGTAGTCCTCGACTTACAACCCATAAAATATTTCTATGGTCTTTTTAGAGTTGTCAACAGAAAGGTGGGGGGGAGGAAGCGGTTTGAAAGAACAGTGCGGCAGCTTGGAAATCGAAAGTGCATTCCATAAATAGTTTTTCAAAGATAGTAACTAGGTGACTGAAGTTTCTGCTGGCAAAATTCTAACTGGAGAGCATGATTGATGACTCTGGGCTATGGATGTGTCCCATTGGAGGATATGAATTAGGATACACCTGGGGTGGGGTGGGGGAAAACCAGGGTCAAGGGTGACCATGAATGATGTGTCTCAGAGTCAGCTGCCCCCAGGCAATGTCGGCATGTTAACTCCCAATAAATCCTTTGGAAGTTTTGGAAGTTTGGCTGGAGATTCGTGATTTAAATGGGGGTAACGGCTGGACTCCTGACACGCGGTTCTTGTCCCCTTTGGCGAAGGGCCTGACTCGTTGG